TGGCTATTATTCTGCCTGCCGCATGGCACGAGCACCGCACATTGCCTAGACGGAGAAACACCCCTGACCTGTTGCGGCACGCTTTTTACCGGATGGGTCTGTCGCGCCCGAGGCCAGCCTGGAAGTCAGTGCCATACGGAGCATTACGATTACCACATCGCCGACAAATATCGTGACAATGCGGACTTACTGACCGCTCTGAGACGGCGTGTACTTATGAATCGGTCATTGGACCGCATCCGACCGTGGCTGACGAGTCAGGTGCATCGAAAATTCTCACGATATCAAGTTTTGCTTGGAGATTGACAGGATGCCGACACGCTTGGCACATGGCTACGCCTGCAGTTCTTTGGCCAGGGTGCGCGTTAGCCTGCCCGTAGCCTTCCTGCCACCGTTATCCAAATACTTTCTTGACTCGCCAGCGACACCGTCGAAGACTGCCCAGCCGCACGCTTTGTTCGTTTTATCTTCAAGTATACCAACCGCCACAACCTGTCGATCGTCGGCAAAGTACCGACGACCGACTGGCGGTGGGGGTGTGCCCCCCAGGATTGCGAATCACACGCCAGCTGCGACATCGCCGAAATGCCTCGAAGACCAAGGCGAGATTGCTAGCTGGTATCCTCAGGCGCGCTGGAACGAACGGGCTTGGCCCTTCTCTCCCGTGAGGTTGTACATTATTCATGTTCATTCTGCCAACAACATGTTGACTCTTGCGTTGTGCTCCTATGAATTTGCGCATGAGCGGTAGATCACCCCTGTCCGATTGGGATCAATGCGCGCTGTTCAGTTGTTGTCATTGCGTCGCGGCCTGTCGCACCAGTATGGCAGTTCGTGGTCATGTGGCCGAGCAGAGAATGGACAGTCGGATGCAACCCGCTGCCTAGTGAGCTCATCAACATGCAATGCAAGGGATCTGACGTCCATTTAGGGCGACGATTTCAACCGACAGGAAGCGACAGCGGCGGTGACAGCGGGCGGTGTGCACACCAAGTCCTTCAGCCCTCTCGCTGTTGCGTGTTTTGCGACGCAGTACAGGCCACGAAGTCTGTTTTGAGGTGTTCCTGCACACGACCATCAGGTGTTCCCTCACGTATTCCCACGGTCACTCTTCTCCTCAAGCTGTGCTCCTGCACTGTAAGCTTTGCGCCACGAGGTTCACGATGCGAGCATGATTCACGGCGTGTGTGACCGAATTGTGATATTGAAGACGGCTTTTCCTCCTCATCATGTAAATTGGTGATCAGCTGCCTCAGGTGTGCTAACTTTCCGAATACGTTCAGACGCCCGCATTAGACGGCCTGCATGGGTGGGCATGCACGCAATTGCGGCGGTTGGTGGCCGGCGTCCCATTCAGCCTGAAGGTCCCATGCAGACGAGTTCGTCGCCTGAGCAGGTGCGCAGACAAAGTGCTAAGTCGCTCATGGCCTCGGCGGCGGGATATAAGGTGCCGGTCACGTATGCCGGGGGAAGATCATAGGAGACAAGACAGATTACCTAGCTGCCTGCATGTTGGCATGCACGCCGGCACGCCATTAACATGCGCACCTGTGTATGTTCAGATAGGCTCGCGCGGCGATGCCGGAGAGCTGACGAGGAAGGTTGAAGAATCAGCTTCGAGGTGTGTTCCGAGGCCACCCGCTTGGCCATGGACAAAGCTGCGGTCGAATTGATGCATCGCGCCGAGAGCTGTCTCTGGTGTCATGCTCGTCCGCTGAGCAGGCAACATTCAGATGTCGTCGTGATGCCGTCCCCATCAATGTCCCACCTGTCACTGAAAGCGGGCCCGCGCAAGGGACGCTGTTGAGCCGCATCAACGTCCCACTCACGGGTGTCGCCGTGGTCATGACCACCATGTCGGCGGATCTATGAAGTCTTGAGGTGTGGTGGACCGGTGGACTGGTTCCTCTTCGGGGGCGGGCTGCACCCAGGGTGCCTCCTCACCACCTCCACCCCCTATTCCCTCCCGCCCCCCCAGACGGGGCACTGTTCTCCGCATGGATGCGACCCGGGGCGTTGGGTCAAGATCAAGACCCAGATGACCTCCACGACAGCTAGCTAGAGGCGGACAAGATACAGCGGGACGCGTGTGGTGGACGACTCCATCCTGAGATCCGCCGATCTGACAACGGCATGACCCAGTGAAGGAAGGACAGGAGGGGCCTGGCGGATCACCTCCAAGGCCGCCCAGATGTCAGCCCCGTTTGGGGGCCAACCTTCGTGTGGTGCGAATGGAGACATTGGGGCACGACCGTGCTTTCGTCCAAGTGCGGAAGGCGAATTCTGAGTTTTGCCAAGGCCCTCACGGGCACGAAGCCAGAGCCGACACGCTCGTCCAGCATCGTGAGGTTGTCCCTTTCTTGGAAGGCTGCTGAATTGGCTCAGCAGCGCAGGCAGAAATGGCGCCTGGCCTTCACCTCATTGTGAACGATGTTGCCGACACCGATGCAATGAGTGATTGCACAGCGGCAAAACCTTGTGACATATCTGCGTTGATACACATGTCTAGCTCATCGTTGCCTCTACACATGAAATCAGTAAGGCTGAGCCAAGTTCAAAGAAATTCGACTGTCGATGTAGCAAGGCATTGATTGACCTGATTGACCCGGTGTCATCCAGCCAGTACGTGTGGCAAGACCGCGGAGGCTGGGGTGTGGCGCAGTGATCGGTACATTGTAGGCCCGGGACAAGATCATGCTGACGCGTGATTGGTTATGAAAAATCCCAAGCTCAATTCGTAGCCTTCAGTTTCGTGAGATATTGTAAAGTCCCCCTAACGGCGCAGCTCGAACCTCGACCACAGATAATTAGCCATTGTTCAATATGGCAAATGCCAACACACTGCGGCCTTCCATAGGCCGTCTCGCCACCCGCGTAACCATCACGCCCACACGAGCCGTCACGGCGCAGTTCCTCTCCTCCACCGCCGCCCCCTTCTCGACTTCAACGGCACAATGCAAACGCAAGACTCGCGATAACAACCGCCTCCGTGGCGTCAGCGCCCTTCGACGTACAGGGCCCCGCGAGCCCCTGTCTGTGTCGTGGGACGAGCTCCCCAAGCCGGTGGACTTCAAACCCAGGATCGACACGGACGCGGACCATGGGCTTTGGGGTTTCTTCTCGGCCGAGGGCAAGCTCATGAACCAGCCAAAGGAGGACGAGGCACATGGGCGCGCGTGGACAGTGAAGGAGCTGCGTGAAAAGGGCTGGGAGGATCTGCACGCCCTGTGGTGGTCTTGTTGCCGCGAGCGGAACAGGATCGCGACGGCCAACGCGGAGCGCATCCGCGCCCGTATGGGCTTTGGAGAGCACGAGGCGAACGAGAGGGACCAGGTGGTGAGTCTCACGCTTTCTGAAGCAAGAAGAAACGTGCTTGGCATTGTGAGCTGACATGTTGCGACGCAGGTCCAGCAAACGATGCAAGGCATCAAGCACGTCCTGACCGAACGGTACTACCTATGGGAGGACGCCCGCGAGCTGGCGAAGAACGACCCCGAGATCGACCTGTCAGGGAATGGTGAGGCGTACCAGCCTTCGTACGAGCGTGGCGAGGACCACCTCGTTGCTGAGCCTAGCGAGGCCACACTCGAGGATGCTACACGGAAGACCGATGCAGCTGCCTCCACTGCCAACGTCGAGGGCGTCCATGTCGACCCCTCCACATTGCCAGCCGGCGACAAGGCGCCGGTGCAGTCGCAGAAACTATAAAAATACTTTGGGTAACACGATCAGTCAGAGCAGAGGGTCACACTCGGTCAGTTCCGGCCGGGACCATGTAAGAAGTACCTGTACTAGTGTATACAGAAATGATGTACGATACGAAGAGGCAATCGCGCGAAGGAAGCCGAGTTCATCATGTTTTTAAACAAGCCATGATGCTTGAACGTGCATTGTGACTGCATGCCCAGTTATCCCGGCTCATGGCAGTCACGAGGCTGTCCTCGAGTGATGTGCAATCCAAGGCCAATACAGTGCATTGTCCAGGGGGTTATAAAGAACTACCTACCTAGGGCAGTCATGGATCACTGCATTAAGACTGCTGGCCCTGCTGTCCACTGCCGAGCAGACCGGGGAAATCGGCCCAGCAGCGATGCAATGCTGATCCAAGTCGTCTCGGATGCCTTCGAACTTGATAGGAGCTCATTCAGACGAGAACTGCTGCGAGGGCAGCATCCCACCCACCGCCTCGTGAGCCCCCCCCAGCGCAGACCAGTCGCGGCGAATTATGATCGCAAGCGCTGGAACTCGCCAGGTGTGTGCACAGTGGTGCATTTGCACTGCTGCACCGCTGCATGACCCCTCCAAAACCTCGACCCCAATGGCCCACCTGAAGGCCCGACCGCTTCTCCAGTCCTTCCCATTCATCATACCCAGACGCTGGCCACTCCGCTTCAACCAAACCCAAAACCCCCCCTCAACCCAAACCAGCTCATCCCGACACATCTCGAAGCCACTCCTTTCCAGGCACGCAATAGAAATCAACCGAAAACAGCTCCCACACCGCAATCATGGACGAGATTGCTAAGGAGTACGATGTTATTGTCCTCGGCACTGGTACGTCTACGTCTCGGTCCCCTCGTGGCCTTGCCCCGCATCGCCCTGGCGTGGGGTTCTTCACCTATGCTTCCAAGCTGACCGCTCTACCGCCGTATAGGCCTGACCGAGTGCATTCTGTCCGGGTACGATTCCTTTTCGAACAAATCATCGTATCTAATGTCCGGCCAAGTTGTGCTGACTTTCATGATCCCATAGTGTCCTCAGTGTGAAGGGCAAGAAGGTCCTCCATATTGACCGCAACGACCACTACGGCGGGTAAGCTTCCTCCTCTGACAGCGGCCCGCTCGCCACCATGATTCAAGGCAACAAAGCTAATGCATCACCAGTGAGGCTTCTTCTGTCAACCTTGAGACGGTATATCTCCCGAACCTTGCAAACACTGCTTCCAAGTCCGAATCTGACATGATACACTATAGCTCTTCAAGAAGCACGGCAACTACCAGAAGGGCGAGGAGCCATGGACCAAATACGGCCGCCTCAATGATTGGAACATCGACCTTGTCCCCAAGTTCCTCATGTCCTCTGGCGAGCTGACCAACATTCTCATCTCCACCGATGTCACGAGGTACCTCGAGTTCAAGCAGGTCGCTGGCAGCTACGTCCAGCAGGGCCAGGGCTCCAAGGCTACCGTTGCCAAGGTCCCTTCCGATGCCGCTGAGGCGTTGCGCTCCCCCCTGATGGGCATCTTTGAGAAGCGTCGCATGAAGAGCTTCATCGAGTGGGTTGGCACCTTCGACCTGAAGAACCCCAGCTCCCACAAGGGTACGTCAAAGCTCTCCAATACCCCTGAGCTGTCGACTCGTGTCACAGATCCAGCTAACACAAAACGAACAGGCCTGGACCTTAACACCGCCACCATGAAAGAGGTATATGACAAGTTCAGCCTCGAGACCGGCACCCGCGACTTCATCGGTCACGCCATGGCTCTCTACACCGATGACGACTACCTCACCACACCCGGTGCCGCTCCGGAGGCCATTGAGCGCATCCGCCTCTACGGCAACTCGGTCGCTCGCTACGGCAAGTCTCCGTACATCTACCCTCTGTACGGCCTGGGAGAGCTTCCTCAGGGCTTCGCCCGCCTCTCCGCCATCTATGGTGGCACTTACATGCTCAACACCCAGATTGACGAGATCCTTTACGAAGATGGCAAGGCTTCCGGCATCAAGGCCACCATGACTGGCGCGGACGAGATGAAGTTCGAGACCAAGGCCAAGACTATCCTCGGAGACCCCAGCTACTTCCCTAACAAGGTCAAGGTCGTTGGCCAGGTTCTCCGCGCCATCTGTATCCTCAAGCACCCCCTGTCTGGCACCAACGATGCCGACTCGGCTCAGCTCATCATCCCCCAGAGCCAGGTTGGCCGCAAGAATGGTAAGTGGCAAAGCATCAACGAATCATGAACACTGCTGACCTGACTAGATATCTACATTGCCACCGTGTCCTCTGCTCACAACGTCTGCCCTAAGGGCTACTGGATCGCAATCGTCTCCACCATTGCCGAGACGACAGCGAACCATCACCTCGAGCTCCAGCCCGGTCTCGAGCGCCTTGGCAAGATTGAGGAGCAGTTCATGGTGAGGCGCAGATTCTTGAGAGGGCAACGACATGGGCTAACTGAACCAGGGCGCTCCTATCCCCATCTACGAGCCCACCGATGATGGCTCCAAGGATAACGTATTCGTTTCCAAGAGCTACGATGCCAGCAGCCACTTCGAGACCACCACGGACGACGTCAAAAACATCTACCGCCGCGCCGCCGGCGAGGCGCTCGTCGTCGAGGGCCTCAGGGAGGGTATCAATGTCGCTGACGAGTAAGCGACACAGGCAAGGAAGAACAGCAGGATACGTATCACATAACCAGGCACATATACCAAACCAGTACAGTACAGCGGAGGAAACAAACCGGGGGCGGAACCTTGATGGATGCTTTGGCGATAGCTTCTCCGTAGACGAGTCATTTATCTGATCTTTGGCGGGCAACTATCAAATTTACGTTAGTAGCGTTGTGAACGAAAAGGTTGAATCTTGAATTGATACAAATGCATCTTCACACCAATCCCGCGGTGGTATCTCCGTGAGTATCATCTAGTCATCCCCAGGAATTCAATGACTGCTTGTATCGCTCACAAGAGCACACCTTCTCCGGTAGGATCACGCCAGATCCCGATGGACGACAGCAAGACCAGCCCGCCAACGCTCTGATCATGAGCCGGTCTTTGTCAAGCCCTGTAGCAAGCGTATGCGGCCCGCGTGCGTGTTCCAGCAGGGTTGAAAACAGTAGAGGTTTGTGACGGCAAAATGACAGCTGATTTCGCGTTCTTGTCCATGGAACGTTTCAGTCACGACAAAGCAGAGTTGCTGATGTCGTCATTGTCAAACCAGTGCAGGACTCTCGGGTCGCAGGATAATGTGATGTGCCAAGCATCAACTGAATTGCAGCCCATGGCATCAGCTTCATTGTTGAGCTATCGCGGTTGCGTTCATGGCAGGCATTTGTATAGCCTTCGCTGTCCCTCACTGCCACCCTTGTCGGCCTGGAGACCCTCTTGTGGGAGCACAGTCTTCCATGCTGGCAACGGACTGGTTCACTTGAGATTCTTGAACCGGGTGCTTGCTTTGGGGTTTTCATGGAGAGCCCAAATGCGTTAATAGTCTTCTCTAGGGCTACGGTACTAGAAGTGCTAGAAAGTCACAGAAACATGGCGCAAGCAGCAAAGCAGCTCGAGAAAGAGAGGTTTCCGTAGGAGGCTCAGGTGGCTCTCGCTCCGGATGGACGATGGGGCCTGAGAGTGAATTTGTGAGAAAGGGATGTTGTTTTGGTCGAGGAACATGCTGTACTCACACATGCGTCAATCATCTAACAAAGGGCATGTTTTAGCTACAGGTGTAAATATGCACCAGCTATCGGACGAGTCGACAAGTCCGTCATACCGAAGGCTCAAAGGAACAGACGCATTCACAACGCAAGAACTAGACCCTTACCTCTGCACGAGCACTATCGGCTCGGAAGATTGCATGCTCACAGAAACCGTCGACTGGCTGGCGGTGGCAGGATCTCTTCTCACGTGGAAAGGTGCTCAGCCCAATGACGGAAGCGGCTCGTACAAGGACACAAGTTGTCAGGTTACGGAAAGCATGGCAATATCAGGGTGCGATGATGAAACAAAAGTCAATTTCCTTGCCAAAGGTCGTAAATAACATGATCATTTTTATGTCCGGCCACGAGCTCCTCAGAGCCGGCAGCCATTGGAACGGTAACGTCCCGAGAAGAACCACCACGCGCCAAACTCCCCGACGAAACAGATGCCACGAGTGATGATCCATATGCGCGAGAGAAAGACCACCAGCTTCGAGAAGAAGCAGGAGAGAATGCCGCTTAACGACTCCTCGTGGAGCCCATGCCACGCTTGCCGGCGAGCTGCGTCGTGTGTTAGTAAACGGAAGGAGACGGAAGATCGGGAGTGAGTCACTTACCAGATGCCTCTGCAGCGAAGCCGTAGTGTGACGATCGGCCTCACCCTGCCTGGCCATGCGGTTCATCTTCTTCTGGCCCAGCTTGGCCATGCGCTCAGCCGTGGTGCGCTTGCCCTCATCCTCGACACCGTCCTCGCGACGGTTGACAGCAGCCTGGCTGCGAGACCGGGCGCGGCTCTGCGACCGGAGGCGCTCGCGCGGCGTGGCGTCGAGGTCCATGGCGTCGGCGTCCTCGGTGCCGGCACGGCTGCGTCCGAGCGAGCGGCCACGGGGACGAGACTGGGAGCGCGCGCGCGACACAATGTCGGTCGTGTCGACACCGAGCTGGTCGAGAGCGTCGTCCATCTTGGACAGGGGAATGGGAACCTTCTTGCGGGGGATGATGGCCTGGTTCTTGAGACGCTTCTTCATGCGCGCCTCGTTGCGGATCTGTCCCTGCTTCTCGCGGATCAGCTCCGCCTGGGCGAGCACGGTGGCCTCCTCCTCGTCATCGATCTCCTCGTCCGAGTCATAGTAGCCCTCGGCCTCGAGCTTCTCCTCCTCCTCCTCGAGGGCGGCGAGCTTGGCCTCGATATCGGGGTCGATAAAGTCGGCGACGTTCTTGCCGTCGAAGATCTCGGGGATCTTGTCGTACTTCCACTCGGGGTTCGCGAGGATGTAGTCAGCGCGGAGGTCGACGTTGAACACGCCAGCACCGCCCTGCTCTTCCTCGACATCCCGCGCAAGCCTCCTGCGCTCGGGGTCAGTCTTGTCGTACTTCTTGAGGTTCTTGACGCCCTCGGGGATGAAAGTCTGGAGCGTCTGGCCGCCCATCGGAGTCGCGACGTGAATGCGCGACATGACGTCAGCCAGGCGGCCGCCGATGGCGCCGCTGCTGGTGGTGCCGGCGTTCAGCTTCTGCGAGACGCGCTCAGCAATGAGGCGCTCGCAGACGGCGTTCTTGACGTCCTGAACGCCCTCCTGAGTGTTGCAAGACAGCTGCAGCATCTCGACCTCACCCGACTTGAGCAGGCCCTGAAGTTTCTCCTGCGTCTCGGCATCGAGGTCCTCAACCTTGGTGATGTCGATCTTGTTGATGACGAGGAAGACGAGCTTGTTGGAGAAGAGGGGCTTGATCGAGGCAAAGAGGTTGATCTGGGCCTCGACGGAGTAGCCGCACTGCTCACTGAGATCCATGACTGTGATCCATTAGAAAATGGCCATCCAAGCAAGACATGACGCATGTACTCACAATACATGACCGCTGAGCGCAAATGAGCAAGGGCTGTGATGGACTGCATCTCGATCGTGGACCTGCACAAAATGAGTTGGAGTTTCCCAAGTTTGGTTTGCGGCAGACGTACATCTCCTCAAGAGGGTGGTCCAAGATTCCGGGTGTATCAATGCACTGGAAACGTAGGTACTTGTAGTCAAAGTGACCACAGAAGAGGGACTTGGTCGTGAAGGCGTACGGCTGAACATCGACATCGGCGCGAGACACGGCTGCAAATGCACGTTAGTCTAGTTTCCTAGCCGCGAGGACTTGACGGGGCAGCTTACACTTCAAGAAAGAACTCTTTCCAACATTGGGGAAGCCGCAAATGACGAGCGTCCTAGTGTTGGGGTCAATGGAGGGCAGACGGCCAAGATGCTGGCGGACCTGCTCGAGGTACAGGAAGGTGTCTTTGAGTCTCTTAATGAGTGTAGCCATGCGACCAAGGGCAGCGCGCTTCAACTGCTTGCACTGGTACAGAGACTGGCCGTACTTCAGAAGACGGACGTAGTCACGACCCACACTCTCGATGAGCGACTTGCAGGTCGAGATCTGGCCAAGAGCGATTTTGAGGTGGTCGGCATCGTACAGGGTGTTCATGAGATCGCGATGGAACGGGTGGATGTCGTTGAGGCGGGGGAAAGACTCGATGATCTGGCCAAGCTTATCCGAGCAGGTCTCCTGAGTGAACTTGACCTTACGGGTGTAGAAGCCCTGAAAACATGTTAGCAAGTTGTTCCTGTTGGTGGAGGCAGCCAGGCGGAGACAGGAGAACATCGAGGCCGCAACCCGCGTAGATCTCCTCGTCATGCCGTAGTCATGCCTGCGCCTCGACTTTGCGCATGTCCCAAACACGTACTCTGATTCTGCTGATCTTGAAACCGGCGCGAATCTGCGTCGGCAGTTTCCTCTGGGTGGACGACAGAATAATGTCGGTCATCTGCGAGTAGTTGGGAATGACCGGGATATCCTTCCATCTGATATACGGTCAGCGAGTGGTCAGAAGACCAAGCCTATGCGGTTTCTGCTAACTGTGTCTTCATGGTGAGCGGCAGGTGAGCGCTGACGCGAGCTCAAGCGATCGAAAATTGGCGGTGGGAAATGTGGAGGCGGTCGGGCGCAGGCAGAGAAGGAGGGTCGAGAAACTCGGTGAGTTCGGATTCGATCCTGAGGAGTTTGCAGCCGGGTGACAATCTCGACGACAACTGCGGACCACCAAGGTGACGGAAGACGAAGAAGGGAGACGACCAGGCGTGTTTTGAGGGCTCGGTGGTCGGTTCGATCGTTCCGCTCAGGGTGGGCGGTAAGAACTGAAGTGCGGTCGGCATCGAGCCTCATGATTTTTTTTTCCCATGGCCCAGCAGAAAAAAAAGTGGCGACTTGGCGCTATCTTATCTTATCTATTTCGATACTGCCTGCAATTTGACATGGCCCTTTCACGACAAGCCTGCGGTGTGATGCGATGCACCAGAGCCAGCTATGGTTCTCTTAATGCTGGAACGAGTTCAAGGCTCACCACTGTCTTACCATTGTCTCGTGATTCAAATTTTGGCAGAACCTTGGTGGTTCATTCAACATGAACTCTACATGGCATCCTCACTTTCTGTCGAGGCTGCGAGCGCCCCACACAGAAATTTTCCAATCGTGGTGGGGTGCGGGGCAGCGACGCCCAGCACCGTATCAGTGAAGGAGGGGTCATTTCTTCAGAGGATGAAGCCGTAGTCGGATGAGATTTGATTAAGCTTTTCTTGTGAAGACAACCTGGAAGAAGACTTGACATGATTTGATTCTTGCACACGAACCACTACTGTGCTTTTATCTCTTCAACACCTCCCACTTGTCATCATCTGCTTCATAGGCCCGGCGCATCTCAGTACCCCGCCATCCATCCCTTCGCGACAGCCACCACACATCCACCATGGCCGGCCAACTCCCACAGTGGAAGCAGGATTTCCTCCAGGCTGCCATCGCAGGCAAGATTCTCAAGTTCGGCTCTTTCGAGCTCAAGTCCAAGCGCATCAGCCCCTACTTCTTCAACGCTGGCGACTTCTACCGGGCCGACCTCTTGCGCGCCATCTCCCTCGCCTACGCCCACGCCATCATCGAGGCGACCAAGGACGCCGCCAACCCGCTGCGCTTCGACATTGTCTTCGGGCCTGCCTACAAGGGCATCCCCCTCGCCACCGCCGCTGTAGACAAGCTCGCCGAGCTCGACTCGGCCACCTTTGGCCACACCTGCTACTCCTTCGACCGCAAGGAGGCCAAGGACCACGGCGAGGGCGGCAACATTGTCGGCGCCCCCCTCAAGGGCAAGCGAGTCCTCATCGTCGACGACGTCATCACTGCCGGAACTGCCAAGCGCGAGGCCATTGCCAAGATTCGCGCCGAGGGCGGCGAGGTTGCTGGCATTGTTGTCGCGCTTGATCGCATGGAGAAGCTGCCATCGCCCGATGGTGATGACTCCAAGCCCATGCCCAGCGCCATGGGCGAGATCAAGAAGGAGTACGGTATCCCCATCTACGCCATCCTGACGCTGGACGACATCATCGAGGGCATGAAGGGTTTCGCTTCGGAGGAGGACACGAAGCGCACTCAGGAGTACCGGGCCAAGTACAAGGCCAGCGATTGAGTCTCTAGTTGATCACTGCAGATGTGGGCAGGGAGGAGGACGAGTACTGCTTTTGCGCTCAAAGTTCCACCCAGGCGTCACGAGTAGCTAGCAAAAGGTAGTTCAGGCTTCTGAATAGACTAAACTGGCTACCTGTCTAGCAGAGGGGGGCGGTACTCTCGTAGAATAGGTAGGCGTCATATGAGGGTCAACATCTCACAGCCCCGCTCGAACGCCCCTATACGATGGAAATTGCTCAATGCCAGGGGGCTATTTCAGCCCTTCTGAGCGGGGCCATCAAGGTCGAGAACCTTCGTAGAGGAGGTCAGCAAGTTTGCTCCGGTGTCTGCATCTTTAGACGAAGCAACGGGAGGCGCTCTCACCATATCGTACCAGCCGCCGCCTCCGAAGGTCACTTGACTCGCGCCCAGTTCCCTGAACCCGAACTTCTTGTAAAACCCCACGAGATGCTAGATCATGCCCGTCAGCACAGAGTACAGACATCGACATGGAGCAGCACATCGAAACCTACATCCTCGCAGATCAAGGCGATCCGGTCAGCAACGCCCGAGTCGTTTATGATCTGGATATACGAGGTCAACGTAATTTTGCCTATGCCAGTGCCGTGCAGTTTCGGGGAAACAGCAAGCGAATGCAGACAGACGGTCCTGCCATCTTGCTGGTGTCCGACCTTGGCTGACTTGGCTGCATCGGCATCACGCCAGTTCTGCGGGCATCTCAGGTCGTCATCAGTCACGACGGGGCTCTTGCCCATGGTTGCGACGGCATGGGCACAGAGGACGAGGACCTCGCCGTCCTCTCTGTTCGTCTCGACGGGATTTGCCGTCGCGAGGGTTTCCAGACCAAAGTCTTTTGCCTCAGATGGCTTGACGCTGCAGAAGAGGCCGAAGCAGATGTCTGAGCATTGGGAAAGACGGTATTGGAACTAAGACGTGTTAGGGAGAGCAAGGGTGGGAAAAGTGTGGTACTATGGGGCGGGCGGGAAGTGGCCTAGGTGCGTCACCTGTTCGGGATGGCATCGGTGATTCGGATTCGTAAACGCGGCATCCTCCAGAGCCTGGCACGAGCTGACGCTCGACACGGTGAGCGGGAGGAACAACGGACTGAAGTGAAATGGCACGATCGACTGGACGCGTAGGGCGGTAGAGTCTTTTCGTTGCCGCTTGTGTTCTGCGGACTGAATCCTCCGAATCTCGACCATCTCTTCATCTTCGTCAACTGAGTCGTCGATGGCGCACTTGGCGTCGATCGTGTCTTCGGGATGAGATGCCGCCATCTCAAAGGATGCCATGTGGAAAAAGAGTCAAGACCTAGGCGTACAGGCCGGGGTGTGCGGCTGGTGAACCGGTGTCGTGGGGCGGCGGGGTTTTGTCAGGTCAGGTAGGCACGTTGAGTGAGTGAGGGGTTGATCGAGGTGTCAAATGATGGCACAAACTATTGGTCCTCAGAGGGGAAGTATAGCCGAACGGATCCTCGAAACCATCTTACCAAGATGAGGAACAGAGAAGACGAAAAAGAGATGTTGTTGGAGAATTGCGATCGATGTGTAGTCAGATGGGTTGGGGTTGTAAAGTCGCGTGCTTCCTACCAGCGGATGGGATGGAGTACAGGTACAGGGTCAGCAAGGAGCCACTGGTTCGTGGCGGCTGGCGTGGCAGACAGTACCGGCGATCACTCATTTTGAGCTGTCTCATCCGGTTTCCTGCCAAGGCAACTTTTGTCCTGCCTTGGAAGAATTTACCTTTGACCAGCTTGTCGCTCTAGCTACCGCGAGCAGATTTGCCCGTCAACTCACACAACGTCGTGCCACCCACATGCAGACTCGGGCGCCGGGCTCAATGGCACCGAGTCAAAAGTTGGCTGGCAGCGGGTATGTGCTGGTTCACTGGCATAACTGTTTCCCCCTTTGCATATGGCTATCCAACATTGGCATGGCGGGGGGGGGGGGAGGGGTTGACGGACTTGCCATGCAGGCTGCATGGAGTGGGCGTCAAGTTATTAAAGAGCATCTGGATACCCGGGAACCGCCTCCGGGAAAATGACCCTGCATGGAGGCCGGAGCTTGGTGCTTTAGCGAAGGGGGCATAGCAATATTGAAACGTCGTCGGCGTCGGATGTGGTGCAGAGGCGATTCGGCCGACAGGGCCGAGTCATGGGCTACAGAATGAAGCTCATGTCGATGGGGGAGAGAGAGAGAGCATGAATTGCTGAACTCTGTGCCTATGCGCCTGAGCAGCTGGGCAGCTGGGCAGCTGGGCAGCTTGGGGTAGGCGAGCACTGCCTTATGCAAGACATGCGTGCTGGCCAACAACGGCTTCCTCGTCTTGATGAGTGCACCGCAAGGCAACCGGGAGTATACGGCGACCGGCATGATGAGAAGAAAACTCTCCGAATGGGAGCGAGGTGTGATTGCTTCTTCTCCCTGTCTTCCCTGCCGGTCCCGTCTCGTCACTTGCCTTGATGCTACCCTGCTTGTGACCTTGTTTGGTTGGACCTCAAGTTGACGCCGTCTGTCATGCTCGACCACTGTATGGTGAGCGCCAGTCAGCAATTTCAACGACGCTGCATGCAAGCTGCGCTGCCAGTCGCCACAAGTGCAATGTTCTTATGTCACACACCCAAACTTTGTTCCGTCATCGCATCAGGCCTCAGGCATTATGCGGTGGCAAGTGGCATTGAGTGCAGATAATGCTGGCGTAAACTTAGGGGCGAAGCGACATCAAACAAGCATCGTAACCGACCTTGCCTTGGCTTGGGTATCTAGCTGGCCAGGCATCCCGTTTTCTGGCAGCTCCCGACAGACGTTTGGAGCCTGGGCCCATTCATTGCATTTCTTCCCTGAGGCAGGTAGACAGGTACCTACCTACCTCCTAAGCTATGTCTCTCCTCTCCACAATTTCTTACCCCCCCTGCCTGTTTGTCCCCCCGCCGCCGTCACCGTCACTCTTGTTGCGCCTGCATTTCGTTTCCCTCTGGCCTGTCACTCAGTACAAATGTCCAGGCCAGAGCCTTGTTCCCCATTCCACACGCTTCCACAGGCCTCTCTTATGGAACCGATGCTCATCACCCTGGCACGCTCTCCTGCAGCCCCCTCCCCCCGATCCATCTCATCGAGGAGACTCCCCCATCTGCCAAATGAAACAATCGACGAATGAGCGGCTAACCTGCCCCTGTTCCATTCGAAACACAACCTCTGCGGGAGCTTGACTCGTTGGGATTTGCAGATTCCAGCTACACCACGCTAAATTTCGGCTGTCCTCGAGACAGCAAACGTCACGTCACCGCCTGCCTGGTTCCATCGCCCAGGGTCACTAACTTGACTTCACCAACAACCCAACCTTGGTGACCGTACCGTGGCCCTCTCTTTTTGGACTTCACTCTGATTGCTTTCGCCGGGTGAAGGGTACTTTCCACTGCACCTGCCTACCTTTACCTACCTAGGTACCGACCTAGCCCGGTGCCTCTACTTGACCTTGAATTTACCCCTCCATCAGTACCTTCCAGACACCGCCGTCGCGTTAGGCCGCCAGCTGCATCCCATCACCATCCGGTGGGCCCCTCGGTTTGACCGTCCCACCACGGCTTCTTCCCCACGACCTCCCCACGGCCATTTCAGGGCCAGCCTGTCTAGGGATCCTCTTTCTTTCTTCGTAACTTAATAACCATCCGTCCGGCCTTCCAAGCCCGAATCTCACCATCCTCCCAACCTCCAACCTCCAAGCCTGGCCCCGCCCCCCCGGTTCACTGACCCGCATCGACTGCCTCAAGTGTTTCGTCCCCGTCCAAACTCTTGCTCACCACAAGCACTCTCTCCTTCCAGTTCCTATACTCGGTTGTCACCTACAGCTACGTACGATACGAACGTCTTGTACAGCTGCCAGAGTAGCCAACCGCCATCATGTAAGTTCTCTCAGCCCTTTCATACATCCACTGTAGACGACGACGTTGACCATTTTGCGCTAGGCGCGTCACTCTCAACATTACGAACCCGGAGGCTGCTCAGAATGACGACATCATAACACTCGAGATCTTTCCCGAAATGCCCCTCTCGACTCTGCGTGAGTCGATTCAGGCAGAGACCGGCATTCTACCGACTTCCCAACACCTCTACCACAACGGCAATCTGCTACCTTCTGATGACGGATCCAAGACTATGACCGACCTCGGAATCGCAGACAACGATATGATGGCTGTCCATGTAAGGGACATGCGAGTGCGGGGTTCACAAGGCCGCACCGCGCAAGCTACAGCGAGTTCTGCTACCGGCCAAGACCCTGAGCTCATCAGGCTGCAAATCCTGGGCGACCCGCGGTTGCGCGCTCAGGCTCAACAACAGCAGCCGCAGCTCGCTGCCGTCCTGGAAGATCCTCAGAGGTTCGCTCAGATGTTCAACGAGAACTACTTGCGCGAGCAGAGGGAGCGGGCAGAGCGGCAGAGAGAGATACAGCGCCTGAACGACGATCCCTTTGACGAAGCTTCCCAAGCTCGGATAGCTGAAATGATCCGCCAGGAGCGTGTTATGGAGAACCTGCAGAATGCCATGGAGCACAACCCTGAAGGTAGGTCGATCGTGCTACGAGACTGAGGGTACAGACCCGCTGACACGCTGCCTTCCTCGCAGTATTCGGCCGCGTTCATATGCTCTATGTTGATGTTGAAGTCAACGGCCACCGAGTGAAAGCGTTGGTGGATTCTGGAGCACAGGCAACCATCATGTCTCCAGGATGCGCCGAGGCCTGTGGCATAATGCGCCTTGTGGACAAGCGTTTCTCCGGCATTGCCAAGGGCGTCGGTACTGCCAACATTATCGGACGCGTTCACTCGGCCCAGATCAAGATTGGCAACTCCTTCCTCGCCTGCAGCTTTACGGTCATGGAGGGGAAATCTGTAGACCTGCTTCTTGGTCTGGACATGCTGAAGCGCCACCAGGCCAGCATCGACCTGGCAAAGGATAAGCTTATCATCCAAGGCGAGGAAGTTGCCTTCCTCAGCGAAGCTGACCTTCCGAAGGAGACGGAAGAAGCGTTGGAGGAAGAACCAAGGCTTCCAGGCCCGGACGGGACTACCATTGGCCAGCGGTCTGGCGTCGTGTCTGGTCCCGGGGAGGGTGCAGCGCAAACATCTCAGCAGCAGCAGCAGCGTGTGCCACCGGCTGCTGCCGCCACCGCGCCGCCGGCAGCTGCGCCTGGGGTGGCATCTACGCGGTCTGGCGCTCCCGAGGAGGCCATACAGCAGCTACTTGACCTCGGATTCGAACGTGGGCCTGCGATCGCCGCGCTCCAGGCAACGGGAAACAACGTCGAGTATGCGGCGGGGCTTCTCTTCGAGAATCAGCGCTAAAAGTGGTGGCAATTGCGGACAAGAAATAATAGATGGATGAAGCATATCCGAGGCAAAACAGAAACTTAGCGGTGTGCAATGGAGCACTAACCTTTTAGACGTTTGCACACACGACTCCTCTCACGATGAAAAGACGGAACGGACACAGCCACTTGCCTGGACTGCGAGACACTGTAGTAGCGAACGGGACTAATGAAAAGAATATTGTCGCTTCTCGAAAGCGCGTACATGGTCTACGGTGCTTTTCCGTGGCGCCACACCAAGTTCCCTCGTGTCTATGTACAGTCTCAGAAGGCCCCCCATATGCATGCCGAGTCGTTGGGTATCCGTCTATGTTTACCGCAGCTTGTAAACGCAAGGCTTAAGGATAGGCGACTCATCCACCTCCTCCTCGATCTCCTTGTTCTCCCACTGGAAGCGCTTCTGCTTCTTCTGCTTCTCGAGGACCTCTTTCGGCGTCTTCTCCACACACTTGCCCTTCACCGGTGCCATTCCCTTGGTGAATCGCATCCGAACGAACATCTTGTTCGACAGGTCAGCCTTGCCCTGCAGAACGAATCCCCGCTTTTGCAGTGCCTCGACAAAGGCCGAGACGTCCGTCTCGCCCCGTTTGTCATCATTGCCGTCAACCTCGACAGCCAGCTCCTCGCCGTCGGCGGCAGCCTCGGCACTAGCGATCTCGGCCTTGTCCTTCTTGCCGACCTTTTCTGTCTTCTTCCTGTTACCAACGCTGTGCTCGACAACACCGCCGCCAGACCGTCCCTTGGCGCCGGCATGTCGCGCGGCGGGCCCGAAGCGGGACTTGATCTCAGCGACCCAAAGCTCGCCCTTCCAGCGGAGGATGCGATAGGCCTCCTCGATGAAGTCGAGCCAGTTCGTTCCCATGAGCGCCAGGCAGAAGATGGCGACGTCGGCGGCACCGTCCGCTAGAGGTAGGTTGGCAATGTCGGCACGTGTGACGTGTGGGCTCGGGCTGTGGAGGTCGTAGCTGTGGATGGCAAGATGGAGCTTGCGTGCGAGGGGCTGGAGGGTCTCGGCGAGGCGGGCGTCGCCGCAGCCGAGGTCGGCAATGGTGGCGGTGCCGTTGAAGTTGCGAGGCAGGGGGATGACGGCATCCGGCGCAGGCGCGGGCGCGGGCTTGCGGCTGTTGCGGTCCGGGTAGCGGGCCTTGGCGCGGGTCTTGATGTCGGCGATGTAGCCGTCCACCGGGTTCTCGGGCCAGACCTCCACCTGGCGGCGGAAGCCCTCGTGGTACTCGCTGAACATGTCGGGTGAGTCTGTGAAGAGGGAGAGGGCCTCTGCCGAAGGGCGCGTATAGAGCGTCTCGTTGAGGTGGCGGAAGCGGGCCGAGACGAGCTTTGCGCGCATCGAGGCCTGGAGGGGCGTGAGCTTGACGGCTGGGGGAAGAGGCGGCGCGGCAGCCGGCTTTGACGATGTTGACTCGGGTCTCGCCGCCTTGTCGGCCTTGGCCTTTTCCTTCTTGTCCTTCTTGTCCTTCTTTGACTGCTTTGCGGGCTGTTCCTGCTCGAGCTCCAGCTGGGGCTCTTGCTGGGGCTCCTCAACGTCATCGGCTTCGGCCATCTCAGCATCCTCTGCAGGCTTTTCACTGTCCAGCTCCACAGCACTCTGAGTCTCTTCCGCCAGCTTGAGAGCAGCTTTCTTCTCTCTCATCTTTTCCTTCTTCGTCTTCTTCCTTGGAGGCTCCTGGCCGTCCTTTACCGGCGCGCCGTCGCGCTCAGGCTCATCCTTGGTAATGGCGTTGCCGTCTTCGGCCTTCTGACGCTTAGAAGCCGGCTGGGAGACGTCCTTCTCCTGCTTGCCGTTTTGCTTGGCAGCCGCCTTCTTGCCGCCCTTGTCGGCCTTTTTTCTCTGCGGTGCAGGCTTGCCCTCGATGACACGCTCCCACAGGTTGGCGACGTTGTCCGTGGTCACCTCTTGCTTCGCGCCGCCGCCGCCGGCCCTCTTCCGCTTGCTGGGTTTGGAAGCCGACTCCTTGACCTGCGTCTCAGGCTTGAGAGCGTCGGCTGAGACGGACCAACCGGGCACGGCGAACATGATGGGTGTTCGCGTGATGAGAGACGGTGGACGTGGCTGGGTTCTGTCTGAGAGGTGTAGTGATGAGATTTGTTGCGCTGATTGAAAAGTCTCACCACGGCCGCCGAGGTATGTGAGGCAACCAAGATACGTCAGTTAGTCCAGATTTGGCTGAGAGGTGGTGATCTCTCAATGTTAGGTGCCTGTGGTGAGGTTTGCCGTCGTCTTGCCTGCCAACCAGAGCTCGACTACTTTTGGTCTTGGACTGTTGAATTTTTTTTTTTTCCACCATAGACCCCATGCTGGGGGAATGCACCCCTCAACAGCACCCTCACCCCCTGCGCCAGGACGCCACTTCAGGACCGCTGCCACTTGTTCACCCCCAGCCGGAAACAGACCCCCCATTGGGCAGGTCAGTGGCAGGCAAGAGGTGGTCAGTGCAGGAATCTCTCTGCAGCAAGAACAATGCGGAAGTGCACACCTCCCCTGTTGCATCCAGGAAGAAGAGCCTTGTAAAAGCTGCTGAACCCACAGCGACAGACGAGCTCGAGCTTGGTGGCTCCGTCATTCCAACACCTCGAGCTCATGGGAATGTCCCGTCTGTGCCTCACCCCATCTGCGCTTAAGCTCTCAGTATGCATGCCTCCATGTAACTACCAGCTGCTACGGCCTGTTTCTCCGCCTCACCTCGCCGCCATAGGACAACTCTACGAAGAAGGGGAGATGGATGGCAAAAGCCTCGCCGAGGAAGAGACGCAGAAACGCCGTCGGCTCTGGTTCCCTCAGTCCAATAGGAGAAATGGAACACCCCTACCTCCTTCAACCAGAAGATCAGCAAGGTGAAAATCCGACCGAAGCAGGACGAGGCGCGGAGGTCGATCTGCCTAGCCTAGCAAGCGCCCTTGGTCCTGCATCTATCCCCCTGTTCACTGGTAAGGCACACAGCCGTATCCAGAACGACCTCTCTTGCTCTCATAATCGCCATGCAGCACCGCAAATTCATCCGAACAATATAACCACATTGACAAGCCGACCATTGCCCAGCTTCATCTCGGCACACATCAATCACTGTTTGCCCCTCATCTCTTCCTTTGCAAATCCCAGACCGCCTGAAAATCCGGGCCCATGGCGTCTGTTGTGGCTTTGTATGCGCATTCGAACGAGGCCACTAACATCATCATTCGTCCACTGACCTCACGAGGCGCTTTATGCGTCCCGGAATCTCTCAGAACCGTGGCGATGATCCAGCCCACCACCCACCACCCACCACGCCAGGGGCAGAAGAACCAGGGACCCGCCTGCTGGCTCCCATTTCTCTCCACGTCTACCTTATTACAGGCTGGGCTGGCGCTACCTGACATCAGCCCAAGGGTCCTCTCCGCCCTGCCAGGCTCATTTATGCACATCACGTTGAGAGATGGGAGCTGGGTGACTGTTAGCAACATGGCACTCATTCCACGTCTCTTCCTGCCACTCTCTGAATACGTCTTATCCCAATCGTCCCTCTAGCACGCTGAAGCTGCTACCATACCAAGTCTTAAGACGACCCACCGCTCTTTACACGGTCTTGGGAGAGATGCGGACAATGCCTTGCACTACGAGATTGAGGGTCCGTATTGGGGTACGCCGCCAAGGTCTATAAAGTCATGCAGCTGTCGAGGACGCCCGGCCCAGCAAAATCATCTCGTGCGAGAGACACCACACGACTCGCGGAAATGCACCCCCTCAAGCTTGTCCTTCTCGTATTGCTGCATGTCAAGACCGAACTTCGGCTTTGCGTTTCCAAAGTACAGGCCAAGGCAAGCAGGCACCCGTCCTGAACAGCACCGACCGCCTCTCACTCTGTGCCTTGTTGCCGTACCTCCGCTTGCTTGCGGGATACCAGGACAGTTTGCTCACGGCGCCGGGAGCCCGGGCGTCCGCAGCATCGGTTGTTGACAGGTCGGGCCCAACACCAAAGACACACAGATTTTGTTCCGAGCCTGTGGTTGTGGATGCATCTTGTGTCCCATTTTTACATCCTGGGATGGATGGTGAGACATCAGGTACCTACCTCTTTGCTTGTCTTCCTGCCTCATGTTTCTGAGGTACGACAAGACCGTGCCACATAGCGCTCAACATGAGCCTTGAGCAGAGTAGGCATGGCACAATCCACGTCATCAGGTAGCTGCTGAATCAGTCGAAGCCTGCCGCTCCAACAGCATCGGTGCTGGTGTGCCGTGTTCTGGCTGCCTTCAGTTCAAGCTAGGTAAGTAAGATGATGGGTGTCAATACTTGGGTTACACTGGGGAACCTCACCCGCTGGCCCTTGTCCCCCACTACAACGGCCGGCCCTTGCAGTCAGTCTGCCATGCTTAGAGAGGCAACCATAATCTGATTCCATCGAGACAGGGTGGGGTGAGGTCGGACAACCAGCACTTCGGTACTTGCAAATTCCGATCGAGTTGCGCATCCATGTCAATAACATTGAATCAATCGCCTGGATCACCTCTCCTCGGTTTGAGCAATGGCTCTGCGTCGAGGAGTCGTGTACGTGTTCCACGCCATGACGCGATTCTACACGAGCCTCCCCCAGTTGCGAACAACAACGAAACCTCCCTTGACTGCGGTGAAGACACCCCGTCATTCGTCCCCGACTGGTGCTTGTCATGCCTGACAATCAATAAGGTGGGTGTGTGGGGACAACATATGGTCCACGGCGCCCAGATCGCAGGTCGTATTCGTGGATGCACTGGTCCAACAGCTTTTCGCAGTGTCCGCCCCTGCGCAACGCTGTGGTGGTTTGTGTTGCACGGGAAAGCCGAAACCACCTGGAGACTCCGCGCCTGGCGTGCCCACTGTTTTGCGACCACTGTTGGCTCAACCACTGACTGTCTGGGAAGCTCCCTTGCACGGATGCTCAACGGTCAAGCCTACAGACGACTGGAGGGGACCGAAGCAGCCGAGGAGGGTGTAGGTGAGATAAGGCCATTCCCACAACTACCGACCCAGCCCAGATCAGGCCTAACCACGTAACAAATCAGCGCCGCGCGCTGGAGACAAGACACAGTTGTAGGTGAGAAGGTGTGCCTGTCGGCAGCTGATGCCGGTGGCCTGTCTCCTGGTCTACCGGTAGTGTCTTCTCCCTACTTGGCCTTTTCAGGGTACCATCGCGTACCGCACCACACCGTATGTAGACAAGTCGAGCTGTCGGTTTCCCCATGAACCGAAGCTAAGACGGTAGGCGTCTGCCATGTTCTTCACGTATCCGACCACCCTGGACCATTATGACGGCAATTATTTTCCCCCCCAAGGGTGGAGGGGGGCCACAATGGCGTCGCAAAAGCAGTACGATCAGTAACCCGTGCCTACCTACAATCATAGACTATCGACTGCCGAGAACAAGTTCGAGTGCCACCAATTAGTCTGTTTCGCACCACGAAAAGCTTATGCACTGGACTGGGAGAAGTGAGCGCCGCCAGACCGGGAGCTGCTCCTTGCCCTAGACAAATCGCAGATCTTCTTGTTCTGCATACCGCACCTGGACGTGCGCTCTGATCCACTATAGCTTTCCTTAGACCGGGACACAGATGGCGAGAAATCCGTGACCGAACCTCTTTCGGATGATCATCAACCCATTTAGCCCCAAAGCCACTCTGAGGTCCAGGCCACATCGCTGCGGGTCGTTTGCCAGCGAAAGCACATGCCAAGACATGCCGGCCGAACAGTGACCATCCGAGGAACCACTTGGGAAGCCCAGCGACGAAGGAGAGAGAAGCGAGGGGATTCTTCGACTCAGAGTGACAGGACAGTACAGGACATGGGCGTCGTACTGCTCAGCAACCCACCTACGTGCCTACAGTAGAGGTGAATCATTGAGAGACAAGAGTCCGCATCCCTGTTCTGGAGAACGCTGAACTGGCAAAACCCTCCGGCACAAGCCTTGCAAGACCCCCTCCATCACGGGATTAATCCCTGGGCACAACCCCCCCCCCCCCAAAACGAATCCCCTGGCCCAGCCTCATTAATGGAAGTCAACGCCGTCGTTGGTTCTCCGGCTCAGGGTACACCCACTGGCGCAACTACCTTATGGCGAGGGGAGGTACCTCTGTTCAAACGTTGTACCGAAGAGGCAAAGTCTAAGGCAGCCCCACTCACTCTAAATCCTTCCATCATCTTCAGAGCTTCATCTTCTGGCTGGTTTCCAATCGCCCCTTTACCCTTTTCTCATGCTTCTTCTTCTCGCCAAGTCTGCCTGTCCCTGTCCGTCGCCCCTCTCTATTCCTCGGCTCCTGCTTCATGCAGGCCGCCAACGCGAATACCCATGTCCGCTCTACATCACACAAGAATCACCGAGTATCTAAAGGATTGAGCGCCAGCCGGACGGACACACACGATCCATCCCTCTCCGATGCCAGCTTGACAGACGGGTCCAAAATCGCCGCGCTCTCATCAGTCGACTTCCGTCTCTTACCCAAAAATCCGGACAGGACTCGGGAGGCCAGAATCTTGAGGAGCAAGTGAGCCTCGTCAGGCCGCGCCCTTCTTCTTTCGCATTCCTCCTTCGCAGACAGTTTTCACCTGCATCCCGAAGACTGACCCAGGCCTGGTCCAATTACCCCTCAAGCCCTCTTGTCCTGAACCTGAATGGAGCACGAGCCCACGCTGCTTGTCCAACCGCATCCACAATCATAACGAGCCCTATCCCCAATATCCCAGGTTACACCGGCATGTTTCGGTTGCTTCCATTACATATAGCATAGAAGCGCTCGTCCTCCCGGAAGCCCGCCCCTACCTTTCCAGGGTGCTTTCTCACGCCCGTCGACTTGTGTGTGCGTGCACTTATAGGCGCGACGGCGGCCTCAGTCAACGGATTGCTGCTGGCGCCTTGACATTGAAGTATCGGCTATGTCAAGTGGCTCCTCCGACCTGTCTCTCAATTTCGTGGAATGCGACTCCTCTTGAGCCAGCCCACGTCGCTAGCAAACTAGCATCTACCCAGATGGATTCGTCAGCATCGCCTGCTGCCCAGGAGGCAAAGGAAACCCCGATCAAGCCTCCAGTGGATGACAGGGACAACGACGACCAGGATGAGGCAGCTCGCAAGAAGGCGGCTGTTCGGAAGAGGACGAAGACGGGCTGTTTAAGTATGTTGTCCTCTGGGGCCCCTAATGCACACAGGGTCACCCTTCTCTCCCCCCCACATTGCTCTTAGCCTCTGACATATCGTGAAGCCTGTCGAAAGCGCCGCATCAAGTGCGATGAGGGCAGGCCCATCTGCAACAATTGTACCAAGTCGAAGAGGAACTGCGAAGGTTACAATCAACGCGTCATCTTCAAGGACCCTCTCGGAGCCTTCCAGAATGGCTCCTTCGGCCCCGTTGCCTATCCTCCAGAGTCGACGCAGCAGCAAAACTTTGTCTCTCACGGAAACCAGCAGTCGAAACCCTCATCACACGCCCCTCCTCTGGCTGCCATTGCCCCCAAGCCCCCAATGACACTCGATTTCCAGAACTACCCACCGGTTCCCTATGGGGAATCTTATCAGGCACGCCAACAACATCAGCCAAGCGCTGCGGCGTCGTCGACGCATAGCTTCAACCAGGGCTCCTACGAGCAACCTCCAGTGCCAGCGAATACCGCGTACATATCGCCTGCTGCGTCCTTGCATCAACAGCGGAAGCACAGCGAGGGCCAACAGTATCTTCCATCGCCCGCAAAAGAAGAGGATGGATTTCATGGTTTCGGGGATTCCAGCCACACTCAGACGAAAAGCTACGCCGCGCACAATGAGATTGCGGCAAGCGGTCCCGGGTTTCAGGAGACTGAGGTTGCGATGGACGAGGTGCAAGAACGAACCCAATGGGAGCATGTGTATTCAGACGAGGATGCCTCGATGGGCGAGTCGGAGGATGAGTTCGAGGCTCTCCCGCGTGAGAGCACATACGGAACTTTGGTGCAAAGTCACATGGATGGCCCTCTGGACGGGTTCGGCACGGAGATGCGAACTTTCACGGCATTTGCGAACGACGAAACCCTCACATCATACATTCCGCAGGCGATTAACTCGCCTTTGAACGACAGTAAGACGGCTGCGCTTTTCTGGCACTTCGTCAACGTTACCGGACCGAGTATGTCTCTTTACGAACGACATCCTTTCGATCACAAGGAAAAGATGATGGGTAACCACCAAGCCCCCAACTCCAATCATAGCATCTGGACATGTAAGTGAAGTCTTGTAGCACATTCGGGGCATGGGGCATGAACTCACAATTCTAGACACCTTCCCCATCGTTGCCTTCCATCACCCCGCACTCCTGCAATCCATGCTAGCCATCGGGTCATTACAGATCGCAAGGCTCAAGGCGTTGCCACCGACGGCAGCCATGAAGCACTACCACCTGGCCATCAGACGAATTGCCCGCAACGTCCGCAGCCATACCAAGAGGACCCAGCCTGCAACGCTGGCTTCGACGCTGCTCTTGGCTTTCTTCGAGGTCTGGAATTCGGACCATTCAAATTGGTGTCAACATCTTCTCGGAGCGAGATTGTTGTTTAAGGAGATACCATTCCGAGACATGACCAGAAACATACTGCCGCTGAAAAGAGCGAGACGAGCTATGTTTGAGCAAGAACGAAACCAACCCCTAGACCCCTTTTTCATGGGTCACGATAATGGCGAGGCTGACAAGATTGACCTTGATGACCTCGACTTGGGGTTTTTGAGCGAGATCACAGGCCAAAATGTGGATTACGACGAGGGCACCACGCTCTCAGGGCTGTACTACACGGACCGCGATATCGAGCAGTATGAGCACCTACGAGACCTCTTTTGGTGGTACTCTAAGATGGATGTCTACCAAGGACTTCTCTCAGGTGGCAAGCCCTTGTACGTTTCTTCAACCACATCTTCATCAATCCAACCCGGCTGACAGAGCGCTTAGTATGGAGTACGAGCACTGGACACAGTGCCCTCCGCGAGCACCGATGGGAAGATTGGAGGCAATGTGAGTAGAATCGAGTGCGTTGCGGGTGGCGGATGGTTTGCTGACTACACTAGCTACGGCACCTATGATCATCTCGTGTTGGTGATGGCGCGCCTCATGACCTTCGCCGCGAAAGATCTGCCTCGTAAGAGAAAGTCGCTGAAGACCTTTGGCATGATGGGCGGTCCCCCAGGAGCTGGGAGGGGCAGAGGCCAAGGTGGACCTCCCGGGCCGCCCGGAGGCCTGCCAGGGGGGCCACCGGGGGGACCGCCTGGTGGGTTCCCGATGGGCCCACCCGGAGCGCCTCCCGGTATGATGCCTCCCGGTATGATGCCTCCCGGTGGCATGCCAAACATGTCTGGGCCGCCTCCTGGAGGCTTCCCAGGCGGCATGCCGCCAGGGATGTTCGGGCCAGGGGGTCCTCCTGGTGGACCACCTGGGGGTATGGCCCCAGGCATGTTTGGAGCCCCCCCCGGAGACGGCCCTGCAAGAGGCATGCCGCCAGGAATGTTCGGTGCCCCACCCGGGGGACCACCCGGAGGACCACCCGGAGGACCACCAGGGGGACCACCAGGGGGACCGCCCGGAGGGTTTTCCTCGGGCCCTCCAGGTATGGCTGGCGGCCCTCCCAGAGGGCCACCAGGCGGTCCCCCAGGTGGCTCACCCCCCATGTTCCCCGGCATGCTCCCCAATGTTGGAAAGACCTCCCTCCCCATGGGCTTCAGCCCACCGCGTGAGGGGTCACCGCCAAAAGAGAATCCTGATGAAATTGATCTCGAAAGCGGCACGGCAGAGGCCATGCGCGAATGGGAGGCCATTCGGGCTGCATTTGAGACTCTGCGGGCGAGGTTCGGACCAGAGTTTGAACCCCTCGGCCCAGAGTATGCCGACCGCAGAGATTCGCCGTTCGGGCCAACATTGCAATATCGCACCTTCTCTGTCGCTGGAGTCTGGCTCAACTACTACATGTGTCTGATCCACTTGTACCGGACACACCCGATGATGCCGCCCGCAGCTATGATCGCACAGGGCATTCAGGCGCGGCACACGGCGCATTTTGCGCAAGAAATTGGGCGAATCGCGGCAGGCCTCTGCGATGACCTGAGAGATGTGACTGAGATCAGTACGCTGGTTGGTGCGGCCCTCGTCGAGTGCTCCCTGCCTCTTTTCGTATCTGGCATTCAGGTAAGGAACAAAAACAGCTGCTCCCCTACGCCCGGATTCCCAGATGACTGACAGCTGGTTTACAGTTCCAAGATGACGTTCAACGAAAATGGATCATCAAGCGGCTGCACGATATCGCGCGATTGACAGGTTGGCAGTCGGCAAGAATGATTGCTGAAGGATGCGAGTCTGGATGGCGCAAGGCGGCTGAGATGGGGCGGGGGCCGCCATACACGAGGGATCCCAATCTCATGAATGAGATCCCCAAGTCGATGATCAGGGGCCCCCCAAAGATCATGGCGCGCATCGAAAAACTTGACAGTGACGACGCCAAGCTGGCGGTGGCTCGGTCAGAGAGGGCGGCATATGCCATTGGTCTGATTGGTATTGAGCAGGAGTTGAGCAGGCTAGATCTGAAGGAAGGCAACTAAATGCTGTAGATAGTCGCACATCAGGCACTCTGACTGGGAGACGGGCTTCGTTGCTCCATTGATCCAGGAAGTTGACCCCTGTTCCCCCATTGACGGGACCCGCGCCCTCTTGAAACGACTTCACTGACAAGGACGGGATTGTCTCTTGCACACATCACGACAGGCTTGGCGCCGCAGGCATCTACATGCATACATGTCGTTCAATACACCCCTAATGGTACACAGGCAGATTGTCTGAAGGCGGCCTGCCTGATTGTGTGGGACATGCCTCCTACCCACCTGTCTGTCTTGTTGCTGCTGCTGCTGCTGTACCAGACTGCCTTGGCTGGTTCTATTTAATTCGTGATACGATTCAATCATCAGTTCGCCGGAAGTCGCTCGACGACGGCGGCCATCTCTTCGTCCGTGTATATTCTGAAACCCTTTTCCTTCGTCACGCTCGCCAACTGGACGTTCTTCGAGTCAAGCTTCTCCTCCATCACCTGCTTCAGCGTCTTGAGGACGAGGGTCTCGGCATCCTCGATGGTGAGGGACTAGGGGGGGGGAGGCACGGCAGTGTTAGCGGAGCACACTGCGAGGATCACGCGCGAGGTGATGTGAAAGTCCGACCAACCTTGTGGTATTCGTTCTGCAGCTCGGCCTGCGCACCCTCGGAGCCAGAGCCGATGGCCTTGGCGTCATAGCGGTAGAAGGTGCCGCTGGGTTCGGCGTGGTACAGCTGGGGGCCGTCCTCGTCGTAGCCGGCGATGAGCAGCGCGACGCCGAAAGGCCGGCTCATGATGGTCTCCTCGCCGTCGGCGCCCTCGCCGAAGCGCAGGGCGAGGTCGCAGATGGCCTGGGTGGCCGACTCGACGCGCAGGGGTTCGGCATAGTTGAACGTGTGGGACTGGGACTCGACGCGGGCGTGCTCGACCATGGAGCGGGCGTCGGCCTGGAGGCCGGACATGGCGCAGCCGATGTGGCGGTCGATCTCGACAATCTTCTCGACCGACGAGGTCTCGAGGAGGGTCGACGTGACGCGCTTCTCGACGCCGAGGATGACGCCGTCGGCCGTGGCGACGCCGATGGCCGTGCTGCCGAGCTTGATGGCCTCGAGGGAGTATTCGACTTGGAACAGGCGGCCTTCGGGGGAGAAGGTGTTGATACCTCGATCTGTTTGCGTCAGCACGGAGCAGGGGATGGGGATGGGGGGGGGGGGGGGTAAAAGGCAAGGCGGTCATGGCTGAATGGCATGAAACCGACGTACCATATTCGGATCTTGCCATAAACATCTTGGCGGTGTTCTGGGGGTGTTTCGCAGAGGTAGGATTGTTGGTGCTTTGAAAGCTGGGAAAGGAGGGTATCGTCTGGTCGTGAGGTCGTAGGTTGAGGTGGTTGTATCGCTGGAGATCTTGAAGGTGACGGGGAGCTCCAGCTGGAGGTTTCTTAGGCAAGCAGCCAGCCTACGCAGCCGCAGCCGCAGCCGCAGCCGCAAGCTCTTGGTCACTTAGGAAGCAGTAGACCCCCCCTAACACCCCCTGCAGGGATCCGAGCTTCCGATTGGCGATTGCGAGGCAGAGGGCGGCAGGCGTGGGGAGGGCTGTTGACGCTAACGCCGGATCAATTCACCTGCCACACCGACGCGAGGATGTTCCGGCCAAGACGCGACTCTCCTGTGGCGGCCGACGACCCAAAAGCGCTTCAGGTACCTACCTGCCCAGGTACCGATCCAGGTAGCTACAGGTGCTGGACCGTACCTTGCCTTGCCCGACTGACCCTGGGCCTGACGCGCGACAACCCAATGAGCCCCGCCTAAACACGCCCACGCTCACATTCACGATCACATACTCTTGAGCGCCGACAAGGCTCGCATGGTCCTCACGCCAGCAAACGACTACCTCGTAGCTTCCTCAATGTCAATGCAGCCTGCGACATGTCGTCCAGGGTACCAGCCCACGACCGCCGCGCAAATGGAGCCCCAGCCGACCAGGACAGGCCGCCGAGACCCCGCATGAGCAACGCCCAAGGGAGCTTCACCAGCAGCAACAGGCATGAGCGACCCGATTCCCGCCAGGCCCAGCCTCAGCCTGATGGGCGCTTCGAGAGCACGTCGCATAAGAGAACGGCGTCTGGAAACCCTCGCCCGTCGAGCAGGACACACGAGGATCGGCGCATCGAGGAGCGCCGCACAGAACGAACCTTCGTCACCCAGCTCGAGCGCCTGACACAGAGAACGAGGAGTCCGCAGCGCGCAGAGCGGCCGTCCACAACGAGTGCAAAGGCCAAGGCCTCAGAAGCCCACAAGACCGCTGAACCGCAACCTAAGGAAGCGAGGGTCGAGCCGCCAGGTATGCTGAGGATTCTGCGAAGCGACCGCGTTCCGCCCGACTGACTGGAGCCATAGCAGAGCCATGGCGCCCCGAGGCGTTCCTGCTACCACACACATCCGCCCCTCTGGCGTCACGAATATCTGTGCCCCCGCTGGCATCCGAGGCGCCTCCAGCTCTTCAACCGAAACCCCTGAACGAGCTATCCCTCGAGGCCCAAGAAGCTGCCATCCTGGAGGATTTACTATTCGTCTTCATGGGCTATGAAGGACAGTATATCCGGTTCGCGAAGAGCTATAACCAACACGAGGAGCGCGATCGCCTGTCTGGTCCAACATTTAGGATCCTCCCTGGCCTTGACCCCAGTCTGCAGGACCTGACCATGTCGATGCTGAAAATGGCCAGCTATTACTCGGCGCTGGAGATGTTTGTCGATGTGCAGAGTCGGGAGGAGTTTGGCGCCGTGAACCACGCATTGTGCGCCTCTGTGCGCAAGTTTCTCCAGGACTACCTCGTCATGATTGCTCAGCTGGAAACCCAATTTCTCACCAACGACACGTTTACGCTCCATGTCCTCAATATCCACATCCTGCCGACGAACCAAATGATGGCGCAGCTTCATTCTTTGGCCCTCGAGCTTCTCAAACGGAACGCACTCCTGGACGACGATGACGAGGAATCAAGCGACAGTGGCGATGACTTTGAGAACATCCTCGAAACCCTTCGAGAAGGCGGCGACTTGGGCGCTGGAAACATGACGGGGAAGAAGATATGCAAGGGCGGCGTCGTGCTAGGTCTCATCACCAAAAGACTCGAAGCCATGTCGGGCGACCCCGCAGCGCGCGCCTTGCTTACATCCTTATTACGAGATGCCAGTAGGCCGTACATGGTCATGCTGAACGAGTGGCTTCACCACGGTGGCATCAATGATACCCATGCGGAGTTCCTGGTCAAGGAACAAAAGAGCATTCGGAGGGAACGGCTCGAGCAGGATTACACAGATGAGTACTGGGAACGACGATACACAATCCGAGAGCATGACGTCCCACCACAGCTCGAAGGCGTCAAGGAGAAGGTTCTTCTGGCCGGCAAATATCTCAACGTTGTGAGAGAATGTGGCGGTGTAGACGTCAGCAAGGTCGTCAAGGATGTGCCGCTGTCATTTGACGACAGCCGATTCTTGGAGAACGTCAATATTGCCTACGCGCACGCCAATGAGTCGCTCATGCAGCTTCTTCTGACGACGCACTCTCTGCCGCTGCGATTACGATCCCTCAAGCACTACTTCTTCTTGGATCCTTCGGACTACTTCTCGTACTTCCTGGAACTCGGCGCCTCGGAACTCCGAAAGCCCGTCAAGTCTGTTAATACCGGCAAGCTGCAATCGTTGCTCGACCTCGTGCTGCGCCAACCAGGCAGCATCGTGTCGTTGGATCCTTTCAAAGAGGATGTGAAGGTGGAGATGAATGAGATTACTCTCACCAAGTCTCTGCAGAGAGTCGTCAATATCACAGGCATTGAGCAGGGCGAGACGCTGCAGCCGTTGGCTCATCAGCCGTCAGACCACGACAAGAACGCTTTAGGCTTCACTTCCCTGCAGCTGGACTATGCAGTGCCGTTCCCTGTCTCACTGGTTATTAGTCGCAAGACAGTGTGGCGGTATCAGGCCTTGTTCCGATATCTACTCTCGCTGAGGTACCTCGAATCGCAACTGTCGACCACATGGCATACCCATACTTCGGGAGTCACTTGGGCCCATAAAAGCACGTCAAGGAGCTTGGAAATTTGGAAACGCAGAGTCTGGACACTACGCGCCCGCATGCTCGTGTTCGTCCAGCAATTGCTCTACTTTTGCACGGCAGAAGTCATCGAACCCAACTGGACCAAGTTTATGTCGAGGATCAAGACAAACGAGGAAAACCAGGGCGACTCATCAGAAGGCCCAACGAGGACGGTCGACGAGCTGATGCAAGACCACGTGGATTTCCTGGACACTTGCTTGAAAGAGTGCATGCTAACCAACAGCAAGCTCCTCAGGGTATGTGGATGCACCCCCATCGCTGTGTCATGATCACGGTTCTAACACGCTCTCTCAGATCCATTCCAAGCTTATGCAAACATGCACCATCTTTGCGACCTACTCCAATTGGCTCTCCCGCGAGCTCGAACGGGCTGATCCTGACCTTAGCGGCACCAGAAAACCGCCCAACATGACAGACGACCAGTGGAAGGTCTTTCAGTCCGTACGGACGCATAAGGGCTCGTCCGGGCATGGTGATTCGACCTCATCAGCCTCAAGCCAGACGGATCAGGAGGCACGCGTCAACAATCTCTTTGAGATAATGAAAAAGTGGGAGGGTAACTTCAGCCGGCACTTGCAAATCCTCCTGGATGCTCTGAACCACTATGCTGCCACGGAGACGGTCGTTCTCCTTAGTCTTTGCGCGCGCCTCAGCACCGCGAATCAAGGAACAGAGTACGCGGGGCTGCGGAACGAAGAGGACATTGCCGCCTGAGGCGAGGACATGTCTATTTGATGTTTTGGGGCCGCGTGCCGGGCTGGGCCCCGAGAAAGGCGTTTGGGAAGCGAGGGGGAGCAGTCATGTCGATAGATACCAATCTGGTGAAATGATGATCGTTGAAGTGGCGATTCTACGCCACGCGTCGACGTCAACTCTACAAGTCGCTAGTGCG